TATACCTCTCCGAGGGGCTGCATACTGCTGCAAGGCAGAGCTCCCAGCTCCCTATTGCCCAGGCAGTAGGTTTGACTCACAGCCATGCTGGATGAAGCAGAAGGTCAGATATAAAGCCACAAGGATCAAACAGTAAGGTCTGTGCAGCCATGCCTGAGGGTGGGCCTTCCAAGCCAGGGGACACAATAGCTATGGTGTGCGTGGAAGGGGAAGGCATCTTCATGCAATTCTGCTTCCAGGCATGGCCAAACAGTTCCCTTCGTAGAGAACTCCTAGTACCAACATGCCTTCAACCAAAGGCAAGTCCTGCCTGACTAAACTAGTGGCCTTCTATGACAGAGCGACTACTTCAGTGGGCAAGGGAAGAATTATGAACGTTGTCTGTCTGGATTTGAAAGAGTCATGCACAACATCATTCTCTCTAAATTTGAGAGATACAGATTTGTTGGATAGACTGTCCAGTGGATGAAGAATTGAATGGATGGTTGCATTCAGAGGGCAGTGGTCAATGGCTCTATTCTGCTCTGTTCTGTTCTGTTCTGTTCCGTTCCGTTCCATTAAATCAAAGGTTGAGAAAGTTGCTGAACCAAAGGATACCAGTAAGATGTCCTCTGACATTGCACCTTATGGAAGCTGTTGCATCTTTGGGACCTCTGCTGCATTTCTCAGTGGCAACACTATCTCTTCCAGGGCTCCAGCACGGATCCCTTCACAGGTCTGTAGACAGCTGCAGTCTGGGTTACAGCTGCTCAGGTCTTGAAGACCTCCAGGCACAGAGATCCCATTCCCGAGTTGCTCTCTGGGCAATCCACGCGAGTGCTTCATGATCCTCACAGGGATCTGGGTCTTGGTTCTGTATCCCCAGCCTGAATCTGGAGATGCCTCCACCTCACACCCTCCCACCAGGCTGTGCTGGGAGAAACCTGGCCCCATGCCTCTGACGCCTTCCCTGTAGGGAAGGGGGGTGCTGCCGAGGTGCCCCAGCGCCTTCTCTGCTCCATGCTGAACTGACTTCAGCCCCATAGACACTCCTTGCCTCCCCTGAGTCCCTCTGGCTTGTCAGCCGTGCTTCTGCCCAGGGTGCCAAATGGGACAGAGTGCCTGCATGAGGCCTGATGGGTGCTGAGCAGAGGGGGTCACCTTTGATTAATTCCCTAATTCTTGACACTTAGGGAATGTATTTCTTTCTTAGACATTTCTTGGGTAGAGACTATGATTGTTGTGTATCATTGATGTATTTATTTCATGAACAAGGTATTTCACATCTGGTATTATTCTATCTCTGTATCTCCTCCCATGATTGTTGTACACATTTTATTTTCGATGGTGTTCTGTATACAGAAAAGATCAGCAGGCCTATGTCTACTTTCTTATGTGTGAAATCATTTCTCTGCTAAGAATTCACATGCTTGGAGGCTGCTGCTAAAGAAGTATACTGTAGGAAGGAGGGAGGAAAACTGCATAGACATGCAACTTGGCATACCACTTATCCTATGTATGCTTTTGTATCTATCTACAGGAATGTCACAAGGGCATAAACACTGCCAGTGATATCTGCCAAACACAGAAAACTCCTGAAAATTGAGGCAAACTGCCAGGGCATTTATTTAATGATACAAGAATGTTGTTTTGATTCATTTTTAAATATCTGAAAAATTACCTCTGTGCTTAAGTTGAAAAAAAAAAAAAAAGCCATAAGATCTAGTATCTAAAATACCTAACTTGTGTATAAGGTCCCATTGTAACTTCAGATACACATTTCTCATCTTCATCAGTATTTGTGTCTGAATGTCTGTGATTCTAGAATTACCTTTGGCTGGGCCATACTAAATCAATCACAGTAGAGTGTTCCTTCTTCCTTTTGTAGGTCTGAAAAAGTGGCATCTATCAATATTGCAGATGAGATGAGTAAGCTTTGTTGTGCAGGAACTTCCAGAGGCCTGCGAGGTCACAAATGAGACAGCATATAGGAGGTCCAAATTATCAAGAAGCCATGGCTGCTGCAAAGGTTTGACACTGTGCAATGCATTCTCCAGACGCCAGCTGAATCCATGAGGTGATGTTAGCAAACTGCAGTCACTGTCCCTGCCAGGGTCTTGAATCCCTTAAACAAATTATGATGCAAAGGCTCTAAGTAGGTATTCCCAGAATCACTGAAGTACCATAGTAATTCAGAAACAGACTTGCATCTCTGACCTGCTGCTAACCAGTAAGAACTGGGAAGAGGAGTAGTGTACGAAGTAAGCCCATACTAACTGCAGCCACAAATACAATTCTCCTATGCACGCTGAAACAAAGTGAGTTTTAAAAAAGTGCCTCTGGCAGACTTCCCTGAGTCAAAACTGCAGCAGCAGAGCATGGCATAAGTTAGGAGGATAAGCAGTGAGGGTTTTTACAGCAAATTTTTATGACAAAGTCTTCTGAAAAACTTCATAATTTTATTAGCCAGTTCACCCCTCCACAACTTTACTCTGAAAAAAATACAAGGAATTCAACTTCTCCAAAGTAGCAATTGTCGTAAAATAACGTAGTCATCTCCTTATCATTTACTTTTCGCATCAACTTGACACCTTGTTATTGCTGGTTTCCTCTTCCTCTCCCACTGGCTCCTCAAAAATCTTTTAGAAAACACACAGTCTTTAAGAAACCTACCAGTAGAAAGAATAATCCCGCATGTACCAACTACCTTTCTCTAGCTGCTTCTCAAGAGATAACAAAGTAGTTATAGTCACATTGTTTTTTTTGAATTACGATCTAAGGAAAGAAAACAGAATTAAAATCTGGACATGTTTTACACAGTACTAAGCTTCAGAATAAAATGTCCTGCTAGCACTATGAAGATAGTACAGAGAATAGCAAAGCACTAGCATCTAGCTTAACGTTAAGTGGATTCAATGAGTTGCTGCAAACACGCAGCAGCACCTTGGGGAACACTGGGCAATTCTTAAACTGCATGCAATACAAACACAATTTCTGATCTTACTATCATTACCTTTAAATTCAAATTATTCTTTGTATCTTTGTTTCCAAGGCATCACAGTAAGCACTGAGTCATTCCACAGCCTGGAGGACATAAAAAATATTTTAATGAGAACAGCTACTTGGAAGGAGGCGAATATTGCAATTATACTGAAAGTGATGCTTTCGTGATGCCCTATAAAAGTGATCATCAATAAACTAATTTTCCCTCTGATACCAAAACTCCATTGTTTTCTTATCTGAATTTGGAATATAAGGAAGAAAAATGTCTGTGGCTACAAACTAGCTTTGTGTTTCCAAACCAGCGCATGGCATCTTCATTTCCACTGCCTGCTTCAGGCATGACAGAGACGGCTTACTGCGCTGCTGTAGCTCAAGGGATGGAAGGTGGCAATTGTCCCGACAGCACGCAGCCTACATCTGCAGTACAGACGATGCGTCAGTCACATCTGCCCATTAGAGAGACTGAAGGACACAAAACTCAACCCTTGTATTTGCATTTTTGTCTGTGAAACACCAGCTACTTCAGTCTCAAAGGCGTGTCTGTTCCCAGACAGATCACAGCCAGCACAATCCAGTCTCACTGCAAGCCACTGTTGGCTAACGAGCACAACAGTACAAAATTCTCCTTCCCTTACATGAGTTATCAGCTTCGTACTAGGACCACCACAGCTTTGTTAGGAAAGCTAACAAACAAATCAAAACCTTCTCTTACTTCTTAAATACAGTGAGTTCTGCACACAAACAGAAAAATGCAGGAAAGCCAAAACTTTAAATTCAGTAAAGTATCTAATGGAATGTGCTGTGTTTTGAAGAACTCCAAATATTGTGGTCCCTGAATACCAGCTTTTGACAACTCCGTGTTACAGCTATGTGTTTCAGTGATATGTTCTGCTTCTGAAATTCAAGGACTCCAAGTGAAAAAAATCTTGGAATCATAGAATGGCCTAGGCTGGAAGGGAACTTAGAGATCATTTTAATCCAGCCTCCCTGCCTCCAGGGACGCCACCTCTCGACTAGATCAGGCAACACATGGGGACGTGCCGAAGTTTGTAGTTCGGTTTGAAAGATAATTAATTCATTAATATTTCCGAAGTATTTTATACTGGAAAATAGCGTCTAGTCACATAAAACACAACTCATTAGAGACAAAGTATTTTAGACATCGCATGTATCGATGTCACAAGTGTTCTTTAGTCATATTAGAAATAACATACAAGTCATCTTCAGTTGAACTTAAAACTAACAACATTCTTCTTTTAAGAACAGAGAAAAACTTCAGAACTTCTGCAAGCTGCATATTACATTATCCTACCACACACATGAGAATAAGCATGGAAACAAGGACTGCAGGGTAAAGGGTTTATAGCTGCATGTAGTCTACAGACCCTTGAGGAAAACAGAGATTAGAAAAATTTCACTGTTCTGAAAGTATTCAGTTGTATTTGTTTTAAAAAAAAAAAATCTTTATCAAGTCTAGACAGAGCAGGTAAGAATCTCAAGCCGCTGTTATAATACAAAAGATTAAACCACTGCAGAAATTTCAAATATACATTGCTCAACAGTGTGTATTTACAAGGTTATTCAGAGATCATTGACTGTTAAAATAAACTGCATTTGATAAAACAATCTGATTTTACATGTCTTAATCCCATAAACACTGCTATTCTTTTCAACACTGCAATACTAAGAACACATGATCTTTCATGTCAAGACTAACTTTATACTGGTTTTTGTGTTCAACTGTAAGAAAAGCATTGGTCAGCTGAAGACTTCCTTAGCTTCAGTAAATTAAATACGATATATTTAGTTAAACATAGCCATAATTTCTAAAACTAACATGTGGCTAAAATAAGCTGATATGGAACAAACAGGGTGATGTGGAGATGTTATCTTGAAAGAAATCTTAACAGTTTTTGAGTTTTTGAGTTTTTTTAAACAGGACAATCAACAACTTTCATGCTGTTAAATTTAGCTAAGAATTATGTCATGTTCTTCAGCATCAAATATTTCCCATGTAGTTTATGAAAACAAGAAGCCATGGGATTATAAGAAAGGCTCATTTAATATGTTTTATAGAGACTTGGTTACAAAGAACATTAGTAACTAAAAGATCTCCAAATCATGAGCATTATCAACTTCAATAATATCCTCAGGTTCCATCTTTGCTTCATGATGGCCTTCCTGTAGATCATCCAGGGAAGCCAGAGCCTCATTCGTATCGCTAGCAAAAGTCTCACGAGATGCGTCATCATATTCTTGCAGGTTAAGCCCTTTAATGGCTTTTTTCATCTTCTTTCCTAGCACCTGTATTCTCCTTTTCTTAGCAGCTTTTTTGTTTTCATACTCCTTTTGGTTTTCCAAATAGAAAATTTCCTTGAAGGAAAACAAAAACAAAAAAAAAGCATGACATACTCATTTCACTATTATTTCCTAGAAAAAACCCATAAAGAAGTCAAATTAAAATTACAATTACTGTTCAATAAAATTTAACTACGATACAAATTACTGATAGTAGAACTATGACAGACTGCACCCAAGTAAAATGTCACATAAATAATTTTATTAGAAAATTTCTCAGTGATCTCAAAGTGTATGGAAGTAAGTATCAGTAAGTCTTCAAGTTTGCTCATGATAAAGCCGTGAGGAATGAGTGGTAGACTAAGATGGCTGTACTGCTATATGGAGGGAACTGCAGGAAAATATGACCAAAAATTCCATCAAAACTTCAGAAAATTTTTCCTTACAACTGAGATTTGACTCCAAATCTCATGTTCCTTACTGTCAAACATTTGTGAACCCCAGTAACATCTTTTTTACTGCAAAACATGACTGTTAAAAGTTTCTTCTACATTTCAAGTGGGAGAATAACATATAGCAGAGCTAAATGCTGCTATATGTCTTTCTTTTACAGCTTGTTTTTTTAAAAATAAAAAAATTGCATACAGAGAACATGAATGGCATTTTTTTTCCTCTCCAAAAGTTGCAAGCTGAAGGCTAAAGATATGCAAATCTTTGAGAGTTTTATACATGACAATCTCTATGATTACAGGATTACACATACTTTTCCCACAGGTCTGTATGACAAATGATGTCTCCCATCACCAATCAAGTTCACTGAATGAAAACTGCTGCCTTACTAAACACTTGCCAGAACCCGGAGAAGAGTGAGACACACAATCACAAGGGCTGGCGGAATAGCAGATTACTTTTTTTTATTGTAATAGTGTAGACAGATCAAACTTCCAACTTTTTGTAACCACTGTAAGCTATGAAATGTTTGTTGTTTGTTTTTAAACATGAAACAATCAGAGTTTATCCTGATTTGTTTCTCAGTTCCCAGTTCAAGACTCTAGGACGCTTTAAGGAGAGAGCTGTAGCCATCTGCAAGCAAAATCAGTGACTCTTTCTTTAAACAAAAACTTTATTAAAGTGGCAAATACCATGAAAAAAACGAAGCTGTTTTAATTGAATGCAGAAAATAGTATCTCAGTCTATTCCACACCCTAAAAGGAAATGCAACAAAATTTACAAGCTGACAAAACTAATCTGGTGACACCAAAGATGAAGCCAGCGAGCAATTCAGGCAAGGTACAAACCATTACCGGACCTGGTGCGAAGTACTGTCTGGTGCTACAGCTGGAGCTACGTAGGACAAAAATATTCTAGTAAGAGAACACTACTCAATCCATGTCAGTGATGCAGAGCTCCACAGGAAGAAATACAACTGCAGATAACATTGCTGTAAGGCATATATAAATTAAGAGAAATCAAACATTCATCTCTTGAGACTGGAGTTTTATTAACCTCAAAAGGTTTTTGTGAATGGCAATACGTAAAAAGTGTTCTGTCTACCCAGTGTGAATGGTAATTCATTAATTGTTTGTGTGTTTTTCCTTCTTATACTTTGAAAGTGAAAATCTTTTCTTTGGACTATAGAGTTAAATTTGACAGAAGTTCTGAGAGGGATTCAACCATAACATCTCTAGTAGAAAACCCCCAAAATTTACCTCGGAGAATCATCTGCACTCTCTGATAATCTTACCTTGATTTGTTCTTCTTTGATGCTAGGTGTGTTCTTCAGTAGGTTTAAATAAACACCCCCTGGGGTTCTTCTCCTAGTGCCGTTCTTAATAGGGAAATAGTAAATTAGTAAAAGCAAGCTTAACGTGTAAGTGACGATTATAAAAACAGCATCTCGGACAAGGCTTTGTATTGAGACAGAACCAAAAAATTAAGTTCTGCTGCTTTAGATACTACATAAAACCAACGCTGGCTGCATTTTGTGACTGAACTAGTCATAACATCAGCAACCAGCCTGCTATATTTGCAGGTTACAAAACATAATTCCAAACTTTTCAACTGCATTCTAAATGTGATTTTGATAGTGAAGAAATAAAACCATAAATAGTAACTATTCTAACTACTCTCACAACTACCTGCAACAATGTATATACTAGGTAAAATACCGATAACATTCCTAACAGTAAACTGTCAAAAATTAATAGAATTATGTAGATCTCATTTTCTTGCTCAGCAATTCTACAACTTCCCTGCATATCTGCAGGATTTTGCCTAAGGCATCTGAAACACAACATGCACTTCGAAGTTTCTCACCACAACATGTTAGTTCTGTGCCTCAACAGTTTTCAGTGTAAGGGCAGTGGCGCAATGTGACGCACTGAAATTCAAATGCAATCAGCTTTGAAACCTTTGTATATTACAAGCACTAATTAACACGCTACTATTCAATTACCATTCACAGTACATATAAAGCTGAACTGTTACTCTGATGTTGTATTAAACGTGTTACTTTTCTACTAAATAACGAAGAAAAATAAAATACAGTAAGTTCTAAGAACAGAGAAGGTCAGATTTTAAGCATGTTCTTGGAAGAGCAGACTCCACATACTTGGTTTATCATCATACCAGCACGAAACACCAACCAAGAGAAACAGAATGATTTGCCTTTCAAAAGGTGTACTCTGATCTGCAGCCAAAGGAACCTGTGTTATCCAGAGTTGTGTCCTTTCACCTCCTTGTTAAACACTTTATCAATAAAGTACTTTAATCTTCCAGGACAGTAGACTACTTCTAAGACAAGACGCTTGCTGGAAAGTTGTTGCTTTTTGGGGGCAGGGGCAGATGCAGGAGGAGAGGTAGTAGTTTTTTCTCTCCTTTTTTTCCTCCTCTCTACTTCCAGTGATGGAACTTAAAAGGTGTGAACTATAAACGAATGCCTGAAAGCACCTGTTTCTTTCCCCTACTTTTTCTTCTGAACTTTTCCACTGATGCTCGTTATTTGATAAAAACATACTGAGATACAGATAACCTAACCATTAAATATAGGATTTTTAAGACTATTAGTAACAGAAATCAACACTCAGTTTTGCTCTACTGAGCTCTACAAGCCTCTCTAATAGCCTCTCTTAAGTCTCTCCACAGGTCTTTCTAGTAAGAGCTACAAGATTCCCTTTGGAAAGTTACTCTTCAAATCTGACATCAGAAATACTCACTACTTAAGTATGTCAGCCTCTGATGGCATGCTGCTTAACTGAGCAGACAGGCTGGTGCTGTCAAACATCCACCTAACTTACTGAAGCAGCACGCCAGGAGCTTCGCCTAGATCCTACCATTACAAGCCTTCATTCAAGCTTCAGAATCCTTCAGTGTCAGGGAAGGATCCTAAGGGGAAGCAGAGTAACAGATACTGTAAATCAGATATTAACCTCAATGCAAAAAGCTGGGCAACTTCCAGGTTCATTCATTTCTTTGTTTACTCAAATTCTGCTGGAAAGTTACATTAGTATTTATTAAGCAAGTTTCATGGCAAGGAAAGCCAGGAAACCCTGGGAGAACCTGTCCTAGGGGAAAGCTGTAGACTATTTACACAGTACTATTGCACAAATAAAAAGCTGTGTTTTTGTGTGTCCCGGAAACCCACGATATCACATTTTTCTTACCACTATGAACAGTCCACCATTTTGTTCCACTTCAGCTGTTTCCATAAGCAGTTCAATAGCTTTTCTTTTCCCAATTATTTTTACTACTCGGGCAATTAAGTCTTTCTTTGGCTCACAAAGCCTGAAAGGAGAAAAAAAAAAAAGGGGACACACACACACAGTTATTGTCAGTATAATTTCTTGAGTAAAATTGACCACGGAACTTCCATAACAAAAAATTCATTCTGTGGGACATAATGCTGTGCCAAAATGAAAAAATCTATAAATTTAAATGTGCTTCAATGGCTTCTTGAATCAGATTTCAAATTACTGGGATTCTGAAGGATAATTCTTTTTAAAATATGTATCTGTAAATTTATTTCAAAGAAAATGCATTAAGTGATTAATTTTTTCTACTGATGTGTGAAAGACTAAATCAAATAAGAAACTACAAAGACCCGTATAAATCTCTGAAGTTAAAGTAAAAATAGTTAAGTGTAAACATTCCCTTATGCCATTCAGATAAAACTACATAACAAAAAAGAAATCAGTCTGTTGAATAATCTATGATAACCTATAAACTGCAAAGAAGAAAAAAAAACTAATTGCAATGATTACTGAGTTGAACTGTATTATTTTGTTAGCAACAGTGTCCTCATACATAAATTTTCACTGTCAGTCTGCATGAAGGGAGAGACTTACATAGCATCAAATCACTGCGCCAAAGTACACACTCCTGCATGAAAACATCCTGAGCCCACAAAACAATGCCACCTGTTCAGAGCAAGAGTTCATGAACTAATTTCTTATTTTCTAAGGACCAAACTTCTCATCAAGCACAGCCCCAAGCACTGCAGCTCAGTGGTTTTACTCTCTGAGGACAAACAGACCACCATCATTACCAAAATTTCTTGAAGACCACTGTCTAGCCTAATTGTTTCACATGGCATTACTATGCTATAAATTTAGACGTTACAATGACTGCATAATAGAAAGTGTCTGACCACTGATGTTGACAGCTATTTATAACAACCAGACTAGCTTCAGCTGTATGACTGGAGTTACCTGAAATTTAAAACTAAAACTCCAATGTCTGTAATAACTGTCCTAATAATGAAAACGATTACCTTACCTAACTAACTTTACACTTCGTGTTTAATCTTGTCAAGTGATATGGCACCACAAGGTAAACACTTTCTTAATTACAGGATTGAGTTCTAAATTGTGATTTATTGGAAGAGATGGACATATTTCCCAACGATGCAGAGAAATTAAGATAACCGGAACTCCTTAGACAGCCAGTTAAGTAGACCCACTGTTAGGAGCTGTGGCAGCTTAGTCAAATTGCTACCTAGTGTTCTGGCCCTGCACAACCCTCCTGTGAGGATGCTTTAATGAGCAATAATTTTCCTTGCCATTGGTCTAAAATAATAAGCTATTGTAGTGGATCTTAAAAAAAATAATAAAAAATTGGACTGTATTACTAGATGCTTCTCCTTGCCATAATGCTGCATTTGAATCTCCGGATTTTGGAAATACACACAAGGCACTCACACTTTTGGTAATTGTGTACGACGTCATATATTTGGCACTATGAAAGCTTTCTCCACTCCTCACCTCCTCTGACAGTTCAGCAAACCCTAAGGAAGTGAAGATACAGTTATTGAACTCACCTATATGCAATTTCATCTGCCACTTTTTCTTCTGAATCTTCTTCTGTTATCTCATCTCTTCCTTTATATTTCATTTCTTGTCTTTCACCCAGTCTATCTTTCACAGGCCGCTTCCGTTTGAGAAAGGCTTGCCCACTTTCTTCCTCTGCTGGCAAGGTTTTCTTATCATCATGCATGTATTCATCAAGTTGTTTATCTAAAGTCTCTGCCTCCTTTTGCTGAGCTTCCTTCATCAGCTTTTTAGCCAATAAATAATTATAAGTCTCAGACTGCCTGCTTCTGTCAATACTACCATCCATGCCTAGAATCCCAAGTTCAGTAGCCACCGCATCCTGATTCTGCTCCTGGAGCACCACACCCCAAATGTTGTTGACCTTCTTGCCACCCTGTACAGTTTGTTTTGTGTGGCTCTGGCTAAGCTGAAAAGGCTCAGATTTAGCAGGAGGGAAGTTGAAACATTTTTGTCGCTTTCGTTTCCACAGACAGTTGTCATCGTCAGATTCAGAAAAGCTTTCGTCACTTGAATCCACACTTTTGGTTGTCCGATAAGGAACATTTGGTGCACATGATGAAACACTGCTCTGGAACTGCGTGCCTGAACCAATGTCACCATGTGATTTCTGAAACAAAAAAAAAGTAAATGTCCATTAATTTAATTACTCTTGTATATCAAAAGAGCTCTCAAGTCATGTTAAAGATTTGATGAGCGTAAACATAATTCTGACTCGTATGACTGCTTGGGCAGCCCTCTGTGAGTATCTTTGACAGGAACATCCCATAAAAGTTCTGTATGTTGAACACTTGCATGTGAAAGCACAGCTACTATAGAAAACACTTATGAGGAGTTATTAATCTACTTAATGTAATCTTTGCTGAATTAAATTAAAATTAAGAGAATGGAAAAGCTATTAAAATTCCCAAATTGGACAATGACACTACATGCACAGCTGTTCTAAAGAGGAATAAAGATCTAAACCTCTATGGCAACTTACTAGAAGTTTTTTTAACAGCATAGAAATTAATATTTGTTTGAACATCATCATGTTCAACAAGGCCAAGTGCAATGTCCTGCATCCAGGTTGAGGCAACCTGTGGTATCAATACAGACTGGGCAATGAGTGAATTGAGAGCAGCTCTGCAAAGAGCTGCTTAGGGGTGTTGGTGGGTGAAAAGGACTGCAGCCCAGAATACCAATCACATCCTTGGCTGCATCCCGAGAAGTGTGGCCAGGAGGTCGAGGAAGGCAATTCTGTTTCTCTATTCCACTCTTGTGAGACCCCCTCGTGCAGTGCTACGTTCAGCTCTGGACTCCCCAACACAAGACACGGACCTGTTGGGGTGGGTCCAGAGGAGGACCACAAAAATGATCAGGGGGCTGAAGCACTCCTTCTGTGAAGAAAAAAAGGCCCCCAGGAGACCTCACTGCAGCCTTTTGGTACTTAAAAGAGGACCTACAGGAAAGATGGGGACAATTTTAGCCAGAAGAAGTTTTTTACAATGAGGGTGGTGAAACACTGGCTCACGTTGCCCAGAGACATAGTAGAAGCCCCATGCCTGGTAGCATTCAAGCTCAGGCTGCACAGGGCTCTGAGCAATCTGATCTTGTTAGAGATGTCCCTGCTCATTGCAGAGGGATTGGTCACAATGACCTTTACACGTCTCTTCTACTCCAAAACATCATGTGATTCTACCTGGAGTCTGAGGAGGGTCAAGACTATAGTGATCTGCAACTACAACTCTTCTAAAAACTCAAGTGAGAAGAAAAAAGAATCAAGAGCATCAAAATCAAAACTTACAAAACTTGCATGCTGCTTAGACACTGCGAAGCCAAGAGAGTATTCTGACTCTTAGTCAGGACAGAACATGACCAGCTGGTGACAGTACTTTAGAAAAGAACTGGGGTTTTATCCTTTCAAACCAACAAGACACCAAAATCTTACTACAGATTCTTATTCATTAGGACATAAACCCTAAAGGTTTCAACATATTTTATAAAAAAAAAAGTTTCACTGCCAACAAAACGTTCAAGAAATGCTGTTTCCCCACACACGACAGAAAGAAATGAAATATGAAATCCAAACTTGCCCAAAATCCGAGTAACCTGCAAAAGCACCATAGGTAACTTATCCCAGAACTCTCATTCCCAGTTACTAGAAGTTTTTAGCCATGCCGTTTTTGCTAATTTTCTTTACTCATAATTCCGCTTTCTCCCTATCTAATTTCCTATTATAACGCTATATGCTACCCCATGTTTTTTAAAAATATGACCTCTTCTTTTAATTTCAGGTAAAACAAAATTTTTTTCTTTACTGTTACTGCTTTCACCAATATGATGGCCGCCGAGACACCAACAGGTTGCCCAGAGAAGGTGTGGATGCCCCCTCCCTGAAGGTGCTCAAGGCCAGGCTGGATGAGGCTTTGGGCAACCCAGTCTAGTGGGAGGTGTCCCTGCCCATGGCAGGGATGTTTGAGCTAGATGATCTTTAAGGTTTGATGATCTTTCCAACTCAAGCCATTCCATGACTCTATAACTTCTTCCTCCTATTAGAAAACAGGGAACAGAAGCCTTCAACTTATGTTATGAAATACAAACCTTTAATTTAAAAAGTATTCCATAATGCAAAACTCTAACAACTCTATAACTTTAAAAAAAAATCCTATGTGTGTAATAATTAATTTTGTGCTATACATCCCTGAATCGTATTGCAAATAAATCAAAACAACTGAAGAAAATAAATATCCTTACACATATGCTGTCATACACTGATTTATCTTATTTTGAAATCTCTTCCTTCCCACAGGCCACCATAAATACCTCACAAATTTCATAATTAATTGTAAAAGCAGTACGAGACACTTGGAAATAAGCAACTTCTCTTCAGCTGTTCAGATACCAAAGAGTTATAGAGGAAAGGGAAAGCAACACTCGCCGCTTCCACGTGTTTTTACAAGGGCTTGTTACAGAATCACAGAATCTATTTGGCTGGAAGAGAGACCTTTCAGATCACCGAGTCCAACCATTAACCAGCACAGCCAGGTCACCACTGCACCACGTCCTTAAGCACCAGGCGAACACGTTGTTTAAATACCTTCAGGGCTGGCGAATCCAC